CCCCCCCCCCCCCCCCCCCCCCCCCCGATCTAACGCCTGCCGCCCTCCCCCGAAACCTCGCGCTCGTGCATGGTGAAAAGGTCACCGTGATGTCAGCGGCATGCGCCGAGCGGTGCGGGCTCGCGTCGCGAATCAACAAGAGTTACGCCGGCCGGGCTGTGGGCGTCGGGTTCGCGAGGATACTGGGACGAATCCACGACGCCAGCATTCGGTGGGTGTGTTTGTCCGTATCTGTGTTGCCATGTTTTTTCTTGTGATTTTGTCCGGGTGGTTTGTCTCGGGTGGTGTATTTGGGTGTATCTGTCTTGTCATGTTTTTCGTTGTCTTTCGTCTATTTTTGTGTTCTGTCTGGTGTGTGTATTTGTCTGTGTCTGTCTTGTCGTGGTGTATTTATGTTGTGGTTCGTCTATTTGGTGGTCTGTCTGGTTTGTGAACTTGTCTGTGTCTGTTTGGTCATGGACTTTTTGTTGTGATTTGTGGTGGTGGCTTGTCTCGGTGCGTGTGGGTTTGGGTGTTCCTTCGCTGGCTTGTGACGATTTTTCATTTTGTTTGCGTTGGTGGTTGATCTTGGGTGGCGCGTGTTGGTGTATGTATTTCTGTAACTGTTAGCTTTGTGTCGATGTATTTGGGCAATTTGCATGTGGCCTCTGGTTGCCATGATTTTATTCGTGTGGCGCTTTCCGCTCGGGGTGTTCAGAGGAAGTCTTCGCCGCAGCAGCACGCGACGGTATAGAGTTGGCCAGCGTCGCCGCCATGGCCGCTTTCCTTTGAATGCCGAAAGCTGCATGCTTCCCGCCCCCCACCCCCCGCATCTCGGAGTGGCGATGAAGCACACACTGCGTCCAAACAAGGCTGCATCCCTCCCCGCTTCTTGGAATGATGTTGCAGCACAGGCTTGCTTGCAAACAAGGCTGCACCCTCCCCTCTCTGTGCTGGAGTACACACAAACCAGGCAGGTGGATACCCTTCTGATCGAGCCCCCCTTTCCGCCTGCCCCCCTTGCTACCAGGATCGGCAATTCTTGCCTGAGGTGCTCCTTCACCGTGATCGAGCACGGCGAGATCGACCTCCTCGTCGGCCTGGACGTCTTGCGCGCCCACCGCTGTGAAATCAGCCTCTCCAAGAACAGAATGAAGTTTCACGCCGGAGACGGCCCGGCGAAAGAGGCGAGTGAGAGATAGCGGGGTGCAACGAATTTTTGTCTGTTATTTGCGTGGGCGGGGCGCAGCGAATCAGTACCCTTGTGCTTGGGTTTTGTTCGTTCGCTTTGGGCAACTGGTCGGCGTTTTTGGTGTGACGGCGACGAGAACGGGAGAAGATGTATCCACGTCTGAGGTTAATGCAGGGTTTCGGATGACACTTTTTTGGCAGAGAAAAGTTCCGTTGTCCATCCGTGTTTGCGTCCTGATCCCGGCCGCACATCGAATCGAGGAGCAACGAAGGTCTGTTAATATGCATGCATCTTCTCCATTCCCTTTGGAACAACTATTGGGTCGCATGTATCGCACGTGCCCTGACAGCCCAATGTACGCTGCATTTAGTCCCTGCATGTTCCTATATGTTGTGCTACTTCTTCAACTCGAAACGTAAGCAACAAACCGTTTCTTTCGGCTCTCTCTGTATGTATCTTCTCACTCTCTCCCTCCCTCCATCCCTCCCTCCCCCTTCTCTGGCTTTCTCATGACAGCAGGTGGCTTTCCTGACTAGAATCGAGAGGGAAGGGGGCAGATGCCAGCGGCGGCGGCACAGACCGCGGTGGCGTTCCTCGGTGAGTGATTAGTATGTCAGGCTCGAGAACGGGTTTTCGTTGTCATATCCCCAAACACTTGATCGGCTCTCCATCTTTTGCCGTTCCTCAAGACTCATGCAGCAAAGGCAATCTTCATCTCCTGGTGCTGCCTGTGGACTAACTCCCAAGCTGCTACGACAAACTGTTATGACGCGAGGGGGGGGGGGGGGGGGGGGGGTGAAAAAGGAAAAGGGGGGGGGGGGGGGGGGAATCCGGGATTTCCCCTTCCCCCCCCGACCAATTTTACCCGGCTCCCACTTTTGGGGGGCCCTTTTCGGGGGGCCCCGGGGAAAATTTCCTTGGGGGGGAAAAAATTTTAATAAACCCCCCCCCCCTTTTTTGGAACCCTTCCCCGGGGGGGGGTGGGTTGTATTGTATTGCATTGCCTTTTATTGGAAAAAAAACAGGTCCTTTGGGGAAAAACAAAAAAAAACTTTCCCAAAGGGGGGGGGGTTTTTTTTTCCCCCCCCCCCCTGGGGAAATTTTTTTTTCCCGCCCCCCT